GGATGCTCACCTTACTAGACCTGGATGGAGGTGGGTGGTCCTTGGACTTCCCACAGGGCAGGGAACCCTGATTGCTCTTTGGGCTGACGAGGGAGGGGGACTTGATTGGGGGAGGGGGAGGGAAATGGGAGGCGGCGGTGGGGATGAGACAGTAATCTTTAATAAATAAATAAGAAAAAAAAGGAAAAAACTACCTGATATTTGCAATTTTATCTTAAAAATATTATGCACGTTTGTGTATGTACATATGTATATATGTATGTATTTTTCTGGTAAAACCTGAATATACAAATCCAATCTCAGAATGCTTTCTCACACCAGGAATAGTGCAAAGAACTGGCTGGAAATCCAGCTCAGTAGACTGGACAGCTCAGTAAACTGGACACCCTCTTTTGGCCTCTTCAAGGATCAGCACATATACACCAAGAAAAAAAAAAAGGCTGGGAGCAGGGGGTGAGTTGTCGTGCCTGCCTTTAATTGCAGGCAGATCTCTGTGAGTTCGGAGCCAGCCTGGCCTACATAGTGAGTTCCGGGACAGCCAGGGCTACATAATAAGATCCTGTCAGCAAACAAAACAGAAAAACCTACTAAGTGTTTCTAAGCCTGGCCATCTGCTGGCCCCTAAAAGTCAAACACCATTACATGGCAACTTTCCTGACAACTGAAATAACTATTCGACCCAAGTCTATCTCCAGAGCTCCAAATGTTTCTTCTCGTATTGTCTGAAAATGTTCACTGCTGCCTACAATTTAGTATAGCTTATATAAAAGCAAGTATGTAGAATATATACTTGCATCTTAGATTATAGCTTAAATTTGAAAAATAACAGCATAAAACTTAATTTTATTAAGCTTCCTCCCACCCACCAAAGCCGAGGGCCAAACCCAGAGCCTTGTGCTTGCTAGGCAAGTGCTCTACCACTGAGCTAAATCCCCAACCCCAGGATCTTTTTCTTTTTTTTTTTTAAGAAACAAAGAAACAGTATTCTTCCATAGTGGTTCACACAGAATTCTCTCAAATAAAATCTCCCAAGTTCAAATGTGGTGGGCTGGGAAGCAGCTTAGCTGGCATAGTGCTTATCTAGCATGCTCGAAACAGCACTGAAGAAAACCACAAGATAGAGGGACAGGCCTCTCATCCCAGCAGGAGGGAGAGGAAGGAAGATGAGGAGTTCAAGACCATCTTTGGTTGCAGTGAGTTCAGGGTCAACCTGGGCTAAATGATATCCTATCCAAAAAAGGGTTCAGACACCTGCTGATGAAGCCACACAATCACTAATTATTTTCCACCAAAAAAAAAAAAGGAATGTGGGGCTGGAGAGATGGCTCAGTGGTTAAGAGCATTGCCTGCTCTTCCAAAGGTCCTGAGTTCAATTCCCAGCAACCACATGGTGGCTCACAACCATCTGTAATGAGATCTGGTGCCCCTTCTGGCCTGTAGGCTTACACACAGACAGAATATTGTATACATAATAAATAAATAAATAAATAGTTTAAAAAAAAGGAATGTATTCAAAGTTTAGAATCAATGCAAAAATGTTTTGCAAGTTAATGTGTGCCTTTTGTGGTCTTTGCTATAAGACTCTTTTCTAATAAGCAAAGTGCAGCTACACTTAGGCAAGGAGAAGTCTCCTTATGACAGTGTGATGGTCAGGGCAGTAATGCCAGCACACTGGGATAAAAGAGGAGCATCTTGAGTTCCAGGCCACACCAGGCTATACTGTAAGACACTGCCTTAAAAAAAGGTCAAGTGGGGAGGGAAGGACTAACCAGGTATAATGGTGCACACCTATCATCTCAGCACTTAGGAGACAGCTACAGAAGGATCGATCAGGAGTACAAAGCCAGTCCTGGCTGTATGGCAAGCAAGTTTCTGGCTAGTCAAAGGTACATGAGACCCTATCTCCAGAAACAGACAAACCAAAAGACACACTAATCAATCTTCTTTGGAAACTCTGAGCGCTGGTCCTGGATAGGCAGCCCAGGAGGTACCTTCTTCACATCAGCTATCCGTTCCTTCTTAGAGGCAGGCTTCTCTTTGGCTTCTGGAAGGACTGGCTGGGATTTGGAACCTGCTGATTCACTCTCCGATTCCGATTGACTCTCAGAAGATTCAGAACTGCTATTGGACTCGCTGCCATGTCCACTTCCGGGATCGCTGCCCTGCTCACTTTCCGACTGACTGCCAGAGTCTGAACCCGAAGCTTCTTCAGAGGCCGAATGACTTCATTTAATAGAGAGACAGGGCAGAAAGAGAACTCAGAATCATTTAAGAACTGCCACAGAAAAAGGTTTTAAAATCCTCTGGTAATGTCTTCAGACCATTATTTCAGCGATTAAACATCCACATCTTCAAATTCACTTTTATTTTTGTGCTGCAGATAACACTTTCCTACCGTTTTCAACCTTGACTTTGTATTTTGTTGAACCATACATACACATTCTCACATTCCAGTGAACATAGACCCCTCCTCATTCTGATGAGGTAAAACTATATAACTCCAAGTATTTAAGGAACACTAAGACCTGACTGAAACACTAGAACTAAGTCACCTTAATACCAATGCCCCCTTCAAAATCAAAAACAGCAATTCAAAAATGAGAAAAACAACCCCCCCCCCCAGGAAGAATGCAATTATCCAATCAGCGGTTCTCGTGCAGGAGTTAGACTCGGGTAGGGAGCTACACACACCACCTGTAGTTCACAGGCCCTGCCTCCACAGCAGTGACTCTAATGATGGTCCTCCCACGGACCTGATAATGACCTATGGACATCCGGTCACCTCCCTCATTTGAAAGAACACTCGTGAGGAGGCAAATGATAGTCAAAACCACAAAACACAAGCTTTAGGTTGAGAGGTAGACACAGTAGCATGAAGCTTCCAAATTAGAACTGAGGTCACACAACTAACAAACAGCTATAGAAAACAGCCAGGCTGCAGATGAACTGGGTTGGCAGTGTGCTTTTAAAGCCAGCAGGGCCCTAGTTTTCAGCACACCAGGTTTGGTGGTACACGCTCAGAAGGACTAGAAATTCAAAGGCAGCCTCTGCTAGGCAAGATGGAGGCCAGCCTGGAATATGAGTCCCTGACAAAATATGAGAGAAACAGAAAGAAAATAAATTACTGGAAACTTGAATTGATTCAACTCTATAAAAAGTACATTATAGTATAGAAGCCTTTCAGTCAAGATGAAGAAATGGAAAAATCTGTCTCTAAGAAGGAAAGGTTGGACAACTACAAACTGCCTGATCACCTCATAGTGTCAGACATTATGCTAAATACTTTATACATGTTTATTCTCCAGAACAATCCTATGAAAAGACAGACACTCAGCCCTCTCTCTTCCTTTGAAATTAATACCCTAGCCAGGTGGTGGTAGCTCGTGCCTTTAATCCCAGCACTCAGGAGGCACAGACAGGCGGATCTCTATGAGTATGGGGTCAGCCTGATCGGTCTATAGGGCAAATTGCAGGTCAAGCTCCAAAGCAGCTACACAGAGAAACCCTATTTCAATGAGCCAAAAAAAAAAAAAAAAAAAAGAAAGAAAGAGAGAGAGAGAGAGAGAGAGAGAGAGAGAGAGAGAATAAAGAAAAAAGAAGCTCTCTGCCCTATCCCATCTCTTACTTTCTGGTTGTACATTTTTTCCTTTTCTTTGATGTGTGCCAGTATTCTGCCTGAATGTATTTGTGTGCGCAGTACTTACAGAAGCCACTTGGATCCCCTAGGACTAGAGGTACAGATTGCCATGCAGAGCTTACAAAGTCCTGTCCCTTACAGCCCAGACACCCCAGCCTGGTATTTTTACTCAGCTCAGTATGCGATGGAAAACCTAGCTTCTGACAATCCTCCTATGTTCATGTCTGAATGATTCCCATCTCTCTCTGTAAGATTTACATGTTTTTAGCCGGGCGATGGTGGCGCACGCCTTTAATCCCAGCACTCTCAGGCAGAGGCAGGCGGATCTCTGTGAGTTCAAGACCAGCCTGGTCTACAGAGCTAGTTCCAGGACAGGCTCCAAAGCCACAGAGAAACCCTGTCTCGAAAAACAAAACAAAAAAAGAAAAAGATTTACATTTTTTTGTATTGGTGTTTTGTTTCCATGCATGCCTGTGTACCATAAGCCAGAAGAGGGTATCAGATACCCTAGAACTGGAGTCATAGACAGTTGTGAGCCATCATGTAGTTGTAGGGAACTGAAGCCAAGGTTGTCTACAAAACCAATAAACCCTCTCAATTGCTGGGCCCTCTCTCCAACCCCTGCTCATCTCTTCTTCGTTCCTTCCCTCAACTCCATTTGCTCCATGTAACGCTTAGAGAAGCATGGCAGAAATTACAGTACCATTCTCCTCCAACCCACGTACACAGTGCTTATGCTGAGTGTCTAACTTTGAGGACCTGGGTGTCATCTTCTGTAGCAAAGCAAGCTTCGCTCTCTCCTGTGCTAGATCAGCCTATTAGACACTTCCAGGCGCTCACCTATTACTGAAATCACTACCCTAAGAAGTGAAAACTGGTTTTGGTATTGGCTTCATCTCCCAACCTCTGCTATGTCTCTCTTCATCATGACACCTGATCCTAGGAAACTGAATCCAAAGCCCGAGCAGTTGGGCTGGGAGTATGGCTCAGAGATACAGTGCTTGCCTAATCATGCATATGAGGCTTGGTCCCACAACACCTACCAAAGAATGATAAATGTAAGTTTCTGTAAAGCCCAGCTATTTACTTAACACAATACCACGTCTTCCACTTGTCCCATACTATAAAAATAACGTGGTGACTTGTCAAAACAGGCTTGAGAGATGACTCAGAAGTTAAGAGCACTGGCTGCTCTCCCTAGAGGTCTTGAGTTCAATTCCCAGCAACCACATGGTGGCTCACAACCATCTGTAAGGAGATCTGGTGCCCCCTTCTGACATGCAGGCATACATGCTGACAGAATACCATGTACATAATAAATAAATCTTTAGGGGAAAAAAAAAAACAGGCCTAAAAACTAAGAGCATCTTCTCATTCTTCCTTGTGCCTGGTATATTAGAGATCACTGACTGAGCTAGAGTAATACATGTACCTGCCTTTTGAAATGACTTCGTTTTCCAGCACAACTCCAGACAAGAACTTGGGGGTGGAATCACATGCTAATCATCACAAAACACCACAATAATCAACATATTCACTCTCTGGGAAAAGAAATACACAAAGGATTGAAAAATGCTAAACTACCAGCTTACAGACCCAGAAAAAGGGCCACTTTAGTCTGGTACAGAAAAAGGTTAACAGTCCAGTTAACTAGAAGGCTTTTAGTCTTGTTCTAAAAGCAAGAATCACACATGGCGGGGCTGCAGAGGTGGCTCAGAGGTTAAGAGCACTGACTGCTCTTCCAGAGGTCCAGAGTTCAATTCCCAGCAACCACATGGTGGCTCACGACCATCTATCTATAAAGAGATCTGGTGCCCTCTTCTGGCCTGTAGGCATACATGCAGATAGAACATTGTATACACAATAAATAAATCTTTTTAAAAAAATAAATAAATCCTACACTTCAGCTTAGGATCCTTAGTTTATAAAAAAAAAAAGTCACACATGGCACAATGTGTCATTGCAATGTCAAAAAGACAGTTCTCTGTGAAATGCCACGTAAGAAAGCTGGACTTCAATGTTTACTCAGGCTATTTTCAAACTGTTCTCTTAAACAATAAACTATAAAAGCTATAAATATCTATGATTAATTTCTCCAACAAGAATATTTCTGTTCTTTTGCCGTTGCTCACTATAATCGGTAAGACTATAAGCATTCTAGGACAGCTGTGTTTCTCTCTGTGCATGTGACCATAGAAATGTTAACACTGCGTACCATCACCCACATTCCCATTAGCACACACGTATGTAAATGTGAGCCTACAAATTTAATTAGTTGAGAGTGGCTAATTCTGTGGGAAAGGTATGCTAGAAAAGTCCATAGATTAGCTTGTGCTGTAATATAAAAAATAAAAAATGACAGAAATCAAACCTAAGGAAAGAACAAAGCTGCAGTCGCCTGTAGATCAGAACAAAACAGGTATAACCAGGTTAAGACAATGGCATCCTGATGGCTTTAGTGGTGAACTCACAGCTGCTTAGAACTCTTAAAATATTTTTGATGCATAAACTAGGTCACCAACTAAAATAAAGATGCAAGTGAGTCAGTCAGTATAAGACTAAGTAATTTAATATTTACTTTGACTGGGCAGTAGTAGCTCACAGCTTTAATTCCAGGACTCAGCAGAGGCAGGTAGAGAGCTCTGTGAGTTCCAGGCCAGCCTGGTCTAAAAGTTAACCTTCAGGAGAACCATAGTAAAGCAGTCTCCAAAAATCAATACTGTTTTTGCCAAAGTATTAAGGGTACAGACCGGTTGTCACAAAATCAAGAGAAGCAAGTGCTATGTACAAACCAAGAATAGAACTTTATTTTGGAACAAGCAAGTTAGATGTAAGACTTAAATTCCCAGGAAGAATGCTGGGCTGCTTCTCATAAGAATCTTTAACTAAAGTCTTTTTTTTTTGCGGGGGGGGGGGGGTTGCTATTTGTTTCAAGATAGAAGCCCAAGCTGGCCTTGAACTCAGAGACAGACCGGCCTTTGCCTCACTAGTGCTGGGATCAGAAGCCTAAGAGAAAGTTTCTTACTGTTGAAAACAGAATTGTTGTAACCAGGATTAATGTGACACAACATTTCCTAAAGCCCAGCAATACTGAGCACTTCAGTACTTCACTGGTTATCACACAGATTCAGAGAAACCCCTAAAGAAAAAGGTCAGCCTGGTGCAGTGGTGCACGCTTTAATACCAGCACTTGGGAGGCTGACGATCAGGAGACACCACTCCCAGAGAGAGAGAGAACGCCAAATTCAGCTTATATTCGGATGGGTAAAACTCACACTAATAAGTATGACTGACTTTCAAGATGTAATAGTTAACAAGGCAACTGAAACTTAAATTCATATGAATTATCCACTACAGTCTCATAAAAATCGTATTTATTTGAAAATTATTCAAACTCTAAACTGCAAACAAAGTTCATTACTTTTCAAATGGACAAAAAAAAACCTGATGAGTCAAAATCCAATAAAGAAAGAAAAGGACTCAACACCTTTACTAAGGTTTTTATGAAATGGATCAGTCATTCTTATAACAGTGGACTTTGACGACAATAGGGTCACTTCTGTTTCTTAAAGTGCCATTTCCAGAA